TAATGAGTATTATTTTTAAATAATTTAATTGACTACAAGGCTACAAAGTTTTATAATCAATTAAAATTACTAATTAAAAATAGAATAAAAATATATTAAATTATATTTAAATAAATATTCTAAGATTGGGTGACTAGGGTTATCAAAATAGTTCATTGTTCATGAACAGCTCGTGCTCGGCTTAATAAGCAAATAAGCCAAATACGAACACATTTTTTGAACTTGATATATAAACGAGCTGAACACAAAAAATGATATTTTTTAACAAGTCGTGTCTGAACTCCCTCAAGCTCAACGCGTTTACACCCCTAACAAATGCATGCATGACTACGTAAAAAAAGTTTTTTGTTCGCAAACAGCTCCTGTTCGGCTCATTAAGCAAACGAGCCGAACACGAGCGAGCATTTACATCAACAGAACTTGAACATGAAAGGAAAATTGAGAAAGAGGCACTTCCAGATATACCACCCAATTCTTACGTATTTACATATCTAATACCCAAACTTCACTTTTTACATTTATACAACCGAGATCCTTCATATCACAACAAAAATATCTCTATTTTAACCTTAAAAAGGTGAAACATAGATAAGGTGGTATATATGTAAAAATTGAAGTTTAGGTGTTAGATATCTAAATACATAGGGATTAAGTGGTATGTATGTAAATATTCATTGGAAAAAGTAAGATAATGCATAAAACACTGTAGAGTAAATTAATATTGCATTTTCTTTTGGAATCAGTAATTACCCAAATCTCACAGCTCGCTATTCAGGATTGCTACTGGTCGAACTAACAGCGTGCTTGCCGTCCTCAGAGCGCCCATCATAAGTATCTAACTCCTTCACTTTCTCAAGTTGTCTTAAGAGATCTAACCTTTCTCGAGCATATGTGGACGGAATCTACAACAATCATTCACATGGTTAGCTAGAACAGAAAGGAAACATTAGGGATAAAACACAACTAGACGAAGAATTTCGTATTTTTCATTCCCTACCAGAGAAGGCACATATCTCTGAATAGCAGCAAGCATGGCTGCATGGCCCACTGCTGTGACCTATCATTACATGAGAGAAGAAAATGCATTAAATGGTAGTAAAGAAAACAAATGAATTCAATATGGTAGCCTATCCAATTTCAAAATCAACATAGAGTTAATCCTATGCATCCACAAAAGAAAACTTTATCTACAGTTCAGTCCGGTGGAAAATTGTGCTTAATAAAAAAGCATGCCAGTGTTGTTTCCTAATGAAGTCAAATTATAAATCTGATGACACCGATCTAAGGGTGTTAGATGGTGCGGGAAGGTTAGAAGATGAGTAAGGAGAATTGTAGAATGAGAAATGGAAAAGGAGGGGACAACAATGGTTAAGAAGCGGCAAAGAACTTCGTTTGGACAGCAAACCGCACGCCAAAACATCAGTTCGGTAGCATCAATTAGAGTAGGAGGTTGTCAGATGTTCGGGAGATATCACCATCTTAATCCAATCATAAAAGATCTAAGGATGCATAACCCCAATAAGTATAAACTAGAGGAAACAACTTCAATTGCATAAACCAAAAACCAAAAAGCACTTCTAAAACAACATAGTTATACAAAGACAAGAGATTAAACCCTAATTATAAATTAAAATAGATAAATAAGTCCACAATGCCCTTGCTACAACCTACTAGGTGGGAATTGCTTGCTACAGTATTCACGGGTGGGAGATACCATTCCACCAAATCCCATCCCGATCAGGAGGCTCTCACCTCTCGTGTTTCATATGCTTCTGCATTACTCTCCCCGTGTAAGAAAGGTTTCGTCTTCATCTCTAGAAGCATCTAGATCCACATAATATGCTAACAAGTTAATGTCATTAAAAATAGCAAAGATATTAGTCTCTTAGTAAATCAATCTTTGCATGCATTATCCTCAATTCTCTTGGTGATTCTAAGTGGACCATCAGCTCTACGCTTGAGCTTTTCAAACAAATTTGAATGAAATATCTCTTTCAACCTGATTCATACTCAGTCACCTTCTTCAAAGGCCATAACCTTCCTGGACTTGTTAGTTTGCTTTTGATACTTAGTGTTATGCTCGACATTGTTCTTCCTCATCTGCTCATGTAGAGTCTTAAAATATTTTGGGATGACTGCAGCTTCTTAAAAATATGACGGTAAAGTTGTGATAGAGAAAAAAACTTCTTAGAAAGTTGAGGTGAGAGTTATAAATATCTATAGTAAAATACAAAAATATTTTCCTTACAATTTTCTTCCTTCTGTGCCATTTCTCTCCCTCTTTGATCGTTGCCACCTTACCAAATATTTTCTCAATTTCTTCCATTCCGTTCTCCCGCTCTCCCTCGCTGATTTCCCGAATCGGATCAAACAACCGCCTCACAGTGCTACAAGAGAGGGCAGAGGCATCGCTCTCCCCACCTCGCCTCCTCCTGCAGCTCTCCAACCAATCTCCCTCTTCTCGCGATCTTCCTCTCTCCCGGTTTCGCCCGAAACCATCACCTTCGTAACTGAAACCGTGTGATACAGTTGCAGTTGGAGCTATTCGAGAAGACAATGACGAGATCGTAGGCTAGTAGAGGACACTGAAACTTTCATCTACTCCCACCCAAAATCATAAAGGAAGGTAAACCTTGTATGTCCCCTTCCCCCAGTCGCACGCTTTAATCTTCCTACGGGATTTAACCAATGTAAGACTTATAGAAACCAGAGGAGAAACGGGGTCAAAGGGCTTGTAGAATTAGATGATTTCTTTTTCTATTACTATTTAATTAAATCCTTAAGTGTTATGCGAATCCCCCATCAGTTAATTCAGGCATTCTAACTTTCCCCTATATCAAAATACTCTTTTGATTATATTATTTAACGTTCATTAAATTCAACTTCCTTCTTCTAAGAAAATAATAATAATAACTTATTATATATAAATACATATATTAATCTTTGAAGGTCCATTAGAATACACCTAATTTGATAAATAAATGCACTAATTGCAAAACTATTTATATTTTGAATTCTAATTGTGTAGGGTCGCTAGTTACACCGTTTTCTGTTTAGAAGTATCTTTTCGGCCTTCTCAAGGTAAATAACTACTTTTTATTAGAGGATAAACATATCATTCCTCATTTGGGGCTTTGATCATTGTTGTTTGTAGTATCTTCATACTATTTCATTGATTGTCAGTCATACCTTGGTTTCAACTATAACTATTATGTTAACATCTTTATATGCTTCTATTTGCTCATAATGAAGTAACTAAATGTATTAATGCAAAATTCCTGCATATTTAAATTAATCCTGAAATTATGATATATAATACTACACATAAATTGTGAATGAATTGAAAGATAAAAAATTTGGAAGTAAATAAATCACATTTAACTCTTAATTGTACCCAACGACTTACCCTACGATATAAGCGTTGAAAAGCGCTTTAGAATTTTCGAACTCCTCTTTCCTCCTCTTAGTTTTGCCAGCACACTCTGCTTCCCTGTCCCGGTTTCTCCCTCACGCGGCTGCAGCGGGTCGATGGTGAAGGATCCCGCAGTCCTTCACTACAGTAAGAGGCAAGTGACACACAGTGAAGCCGTAGAGCACCGCACCTCTTCCCCATTTCCTGTTTCCTCACCTCCCGCAGCGATTCCTCCTCCCGCAGCTTTTGCGCAATTCTGCACTATAGCAGAATCGCAACCAATAGCAGGCCGCACACACAATCGAGTGTCGCAGATATTGATTCAGGGCTCTAGAGATAAATTGGTTGGTAAGTGTGAAATTGATTTTGCGTTATTTGATATTTTCATTTTCTTCCTCTTGCTTTCGATTTGATATTTGTCTCATTTTTCATTTATTGTTTGTTTCAGATAGAAGCTCCAAAATTGTGTCGAAAATGGCTTGTAAGTTTCCATAAAGGGATTCTAGTGGGAATTCAGGAGGGTTTAGAGGGACTAAGCAAAGTTAAGAAGAAGAGAGAGAAGATTGAGCAGCTTTGGAGAAGGGCTTGTTGTCGAGAAGCCTTTGTAAGGTATGTTTTAGCAATCAACTATATTTTGAGTTCAATCACTTTACGAACTATAATATTCAGAATTCCTATGTCGTTTAACATATTAGGTTGTTTACTTGAGGCGATAAGTTCAAGGCAAGCATATAAAAGAACGTCGAAGGTCGACTCTGTAAATTTCATGTAAAATAATCTCAAGTTAATATAAAAAGAATAATTCAATTTATGTAAATCAATTAAATCTTAAAATTTAATATTATGTTTTAAAGGTTATTAAGATTAATATAAAAGTTACCGCAAGTTCCAGCTAGCTATTAAATATTAAGATTTTAGTGTGGCAATCAAGGTGAGTGATTAAATTTTTAAATTTTAGTAGTCATTTTTTTTCAAAATGTATATTTGGCTCCATGGATATTCTAGCTTAGTTAGATCATTTATTATGTTAGCCAGGATAGAGAGGCACGAAAGATACGTATGATATACTAGATCTGCAAGATTGGCATAATAGGATAGATACACATGATAAGCACGATGAAAAATGATATGCATAATATAAGAGATATGCATGAGATAAAGATATGCATGAGATAGAGATATGTATGATGAATAATTGCATAGCAGAGTAAATATAAATGTTAATAGATATATAAATATATCTCAGAATATTGTATGTTATAAAGAATGTAATATATTTTATATGAATACTTGTATGTGCATGTTCAGAGGAAGATTTCACCCCCTAATTGTACAGTCAAGGGACGCTATTGTAATGGTGCGCGTAGATTTTTTCAACCATCCCAGATAATTGTAATGATTTGATCGCTAATCGCTGAGCCGAAAAGATAATATCTGCCAAGGGAGAGTAGACTAGAGCTTACCTCCCCAAACAATTATGATATTTACATAATAACCACAGTGTTGACGGGATAATATCTGTTAGGAGCAGATAATGACATTTCCATTATAGACATTTGCGATGTATAGATCGCTAACCGTTGTGACGACAGGAGTTGATGAAGCAATATCGGTCAAGGGTGTAAGGTTTTGTTGACGATAACCTCATAAAGACGGAATTGTATGCAACGAGTATAAAGTAAAAATAAAGTTAAGATAAATGTATATAAAATATTAGTGTTTTCATTTAGAAAAATGTTATTGATACACGCATTAGCATATATTAGATTGCTTATAAAAATATAAAAGACCAGCATATTACAAGATTTCTTATAAACTTGCATGCATATTGAATTTTTTTCATTGGATTACTGTAGTTTACAAGTGTGATTACACTTGGGTTTTCTTTAGATAGCTCATTATGTTGTTTTAATAGTATTTTCAGGTTTTAAACATTTGAACAATATAAATGGAAGAGCAAATGTGTATATAAGACAAGAACAATGAATGAAATGTTTATTTTAATTGCTTTCTTTAATGGCACTTTCATGTATTATTTGAATATTAAATAGTTAGTGTTAGAATTAGAATAAGGATAACAGTGATTTAATTTTCACCATCCAACCATTCATTCCCGTATTGGTTAACTCTAAGCCCCATGTCGAGTCGTTATAGAGAGAATGAAATAGAAGAGTTCGACGGCATTTGGACACAGATAGGTGTTGAATGACAGTTTTCCTTGCTAAAAGCAACAAATAAAACTCCAAATCGGCGACGTTCTGGTGGCGATGAGGTTCCACCATCTGTGTCTGAGTAAAATAGAAGAGTTCGACGGCATTTGGACACAGATAGGTGTCGAATGACAGTTTTCCTTGCTAAAAACAACAAATGAAACTCCAAATCGGCGACGTTCTGGTGGCGATGAAGTTCCACCATCTGTGTCTGAGTAAAATACAAACACACAACTTGCAAAAGGAAAGAATAAATCACTTCGAAGAGCATAAAACAAAAAACCACATCTCCAAACAAAAAAAAATGCCAAACTCTAAACCAACAAAATAACAATATATAAATGATTGCCTCAGAAAAAATCTAATTAGAAATAGATCAAGGGGAAAGAAATCCTAATTAAGCTTCAAATAATAAAATAAAATAAAAAAAGAAAAGTTTGTAGGCCCAGCCCCATAATCCCAAGCACAAAATCCCACTTAGGGTCTATCGACAGAATCCCATCTTCGTTCCCACGTACGCAAGAAATTCATATGGATGGTTCGCGATTCGAACCCATGATCGCAGGAAAATGCGGAATCTCGCGTCCAATCCAACCCTAAATGTGATCCCGCATTCCAGAAACTTGTCCTTTGTCACATTTAGAAGTGCTTGATGAATATCAAATGCCAAATTCATCGGAAGCTAGTCAGATTTGGTGGAAATTTTTAGAATTATTCTCATCAAAAGAATAGCACAGAGCATTAATTTTTGTGCAGTTTATGTATTTTATTTTTGAAATATAGTTTACTTTATTTTTCTATTTCTATATTAAAGGACAAGCCAGTGACAATAGCCACAGAAAGGTCGTATTTTGTGGCATTAAGTTGGATTATTTGGTATCAAGAATATTTGGTCGACGATATTTCAAATTCGATTCAGTTTAACTTAATTTTTATGATACCTGGTTATGATTTGGAAGTTGGAGTTTGGATTCATCCACTTAAAGTGTATAAGGCAGAAAACATCAATTAACAACAGCAGACTTTCCTTTTTGGGTTTGGTAGCGGAGAATTTCTGTGTTGCTTAATATTCATGTGTTACTTCCTTCGGCGATGGAAAGGGCAATAGCTCAATTGATGCCCTTCGGATTTATCCTTGGTTGGCTTTATTTTAAAATGAGGTGGTGATGTGCGTTGTATAACGCTCTTCAAAAATCACAAATGGCTGGAGAGGATCCCATTTTACACGAGCTTAAACTTATGGGTATGGGCAGATGATTTGAAGATTTTAAAATTAAATATTGTTTTTTGTTGAAATGGAGGTTTAAAAATAAATTAGGAATATTTACATTTCTAATGAAATTAATTCACACTTCAATTCGGGTGATCTTATGTTAATCTCATCCATTGGCCAATGTTACGAGTCTATAGATAGTTGATCTGAAACAGATATTTGATAGCATTTAGCTTCAATATAATCTCTTTCTAACTTCAATCTTAAAGTATATGTAATTATTTGGAGTGTGGCACGAGTATAACCAGCTCATTTCGAGGAATGTTATTTTCTTGCATCAGTGTGAGGCCTGATTATTTTTCTTTGAAAATCTATTCCATGCTCTATTTCGTCCTCAGTACTTGGTATTAGTACTTATGAATTTGATCAACAAGTGCAACATTGAAAAAAGGATTTATGAGAATAATTTTGACTTGTTCATTGATTTTATTTTATTTTTACTTTCTTGCTGAAATTCTTAAATATTTTGAACATTTTATTAAATATTTAATCAAAACTCTAGTACGGTTTGGTTTCATTTAATTATTATATGTGAAATTGAGTTGTTGAATTAATTGATAAAAAGTGATTTGTGAATGCCCTTTTTTTTTATTTTTGCATGAAGGCGCATTATGCATCATATTAGTTGCATGAGGAAATTTTACGCTGTAGATGAAAAATCAAACATTAAACTCACAGCAAGAGTTGAGCCTTCAAATTATCCATGAAAAAATTCGAGAGGTCATGAAAGACTCACGGGAAGAAGCATAAGAAAACCGATAGGGACAACTGATGCCAAGTCAGTCAGAGTCCTTCGGAGAGCCTTCTTTTCCTTCTCTGTGAGGTCATCTCCTGTTATTGTTCTTTTCAGTAAAACCATTGCAGCTACTACATCAATGGCTAACAACTGAGTTCCCTGCCACACATCCTGAATACAAGAAATTCAAATTATTTACTTGTAATAAACATTCCAAAATCCACATATTAACTGTTAGTATAAATAATTTAAAAAAATCCCGGCAAGTAAGGACTCTTAAAATATGAAATGGAAAGTAATAAAAGCCAAATAACTTCTTGAACTCTATAGCTGAAAAAAAGATAAAAAAATTATATGGTATGGTTGAAAAGAATTCATGGTCATTTGCTTGAAAAGAATTCATGGTCATTTGCTCATTTTGAGAATAGTAATTTAACAGTTATCCGGGTGGGCCCTTTGCAGAAAGTTTGACACGGAAGTGTCCCCGCTCCGGACACGGCAAGGCCCCAATCGTGTCCCTTGACGTCAGGACCTTCCGGTCCAAGCAAACAAAGGACCAACCGGTCCAGTTGATTACTTGGGTTTGTCGCCGACTTGATTTACTCTTTAGTTACCCTAAAATTTATAAGTATGTTGCTTTCATATTTGAGGTCAATTTTTCTCTGCGTGTTTTCTGCCAGGATGGCGGTTGGAGTCTAGGTTTCCCTCCTACGGAAATATGCGTGTTTTCTGCCAGGATGGCGGTTGGAGTCTAGTTTTCCCTCCTACGGAAATATCCGACGATGAGTGGTGCCCCGACTGTATCTTGTCCGAGGGTGATTATCTTCAACTTCCCCACATCCTCCGCAATGTTCCCTTCGTCGTCACCGCAAACTTCACTATTGCAGCCGCCCGAAAACAGCCCTCTTGGTTGTTCTCCCTGTAGTTTCCCCGCCTCCCAGCAGTCAGCCGCTTGCCATCCTGGTTGCCCCCCTGCTCTACCATCCAAGCACCTTCCTCCACCTTCTCCTAGCCCTATGCCTTACTGCCGCAGCCTCATAAGCCACTATCCCCACAGCTGTTCTAGCCACCAGAAACTGCATCCTTGCCGCCTAGCTATTGTTCCAACACTTCCCCTACGCTGCCATTGCTATTCTAGCCACCCAAAACCATCCCCCTTGCTGCCTCGCTGCTTTCTCAACCACTAAAACCACCTCCCAGCGGCCTATCTGCTATTCCCACCGCCCAGAACCATCCCTAGCTGTTGTTTCTTTGTTGTCCAGTCCGCCTAAACCCTTACTACCTGACCGACCATTTTTTTTTGTAAATCGGCAATTACAAAAATTTGATGGCGCTACTAGAAGATTTAAATTCCAGCAACGGTGTCAAAAACTTGACTGCGATTTTATATATATGTGTTTGATTTAATAAAGATGTATAGATATAATATTCAATAATGTTAAAGTCGAATTTGTCAACGCAAGTATACGTATCGCTCAAGTAATATAGGGCTCTAATGGAGTCCTAGTTATCGATCTCACAGTGAGAAATAGAATACTACGGACTAAGGCTTAATAAAAAGTAATA